GTGAACATATTTACGTCATCAGCAATAGCAATGTTCATTGCTAAACACGGATATTGACACGTAACAATTCATGTTGAATTATCAACTTGAAAGTCGAAATCTCAAGTTGAATTTTGGCGGGATTGGTGCGCCTTTGGTGATTCAACATTCGACTTGGAGCTTCAAACTTCATCTTTCGTTAACAGCCCATGTGTCAAAATCATTGTTGACATGTTAACATGAATGTTGATGGATAGAGTTGAACGTTGAACTGTCACTTTGAAAGTTGATGTTTAAAGTTTCAATGATTGTGATACAAAGTACAAAGTTGAAGAGTGAAATACGATGTTGAAGTTTGCCAAGTTAATTGCTGGACTGTCAAGTTGAATGTTGTGATCAACTTTGATTTTTGGCGGGGATGGAACTCCATAACAAATCGCATGTCGCCCTTAACATATCAGTCACATATTGCACAAATACGAAGGAGCGTCAAACGAAGATCAACGATTATTGACGTAAAGACGTATAAAGAAAGTCAAAACAAAATTTATGCTTACGTGTGGCTTATAATCTGGGGATATTATAATTGTGCAATATGTAACACTCTCCGAGGTATTATCGGAGATATTTCACTCTGAGATTGGTTTTGAGATTGTAAATAGACGATATTACCAGGAGCCATAACCGGGGATGGAGACCGTAAGCGCGCGCTATTTCTAGTATTGGGGCTGTTCCCATGATATGGGACAATTTTTCTATTTTTAGAACAAATTGCGCCATCATGTGCGGTACACGCGCGTACACGCTGCGAGGATTTTTGCGGATGTAACGCGGGGAAATGGCGTCCAAAATTCCCGAAATGTTTTGATACTTTTGGCTCACAACTCAATACGTTTATGTCTGTTGGAATTTTCACTTCAGTATTTTCGTCGTAAGCTGCTCCAGTTTGAGTGAAGTAAGACGGTGTCGAATTAGTATTGTCCCGCTTTATATCACTGACCAAGTTATGTTCCGCTGCTTCTTTTACAAGAGCTCCACATTACTCCACTCTACTGAAGTTTCACACATGTTGAATATTAACAGCTTTTCCATAACACAACAAAAAACTAGTTGGATATAGTTGGATATAGCAGCGTTTTAGGACTTCAAAGTTTCTCTCCTCTTGCCACACGCTTGCGAGGATTTCGCCAGTTGATCGCGACCGAAAAGTAAAATAAAATAATAACAAGTTTGAGTTTCGCCTGAATTGTAAGCAAAGCTTGATGTTTTATCAAGGCCCAATAAGTGACAATAAGTTTATTTCTGTAGATGCTGCTCAGTTTTGTTTGTGTAAAAATCCAACAAATTGCCTGTTGTCGATGAATAAGAGCGCCCGCCGATGATTGTTTTGTACAGTCAGTTAAACATGACAAATTGGACCCCCCCACTTTCGTGTAAAAACTTACATCGAACTCAGATAATATCTCTAGTTTTTAAATATGTTTAAGGTTGATAAATGTTTGAGAACATATTAAAAGCCTGGCTGAAAATATGTGAATACAGCAGAAATAATCGGCAAAGTTACGATGACGATTTCTTTAATCAACTCGAACAACGATTTTGGTTTAGTTATCAAAACTCCTTGTCTATCTTATTTTCGCAGTGTAAAATTTCACTGTGTTAAAGAAACACACGTGATGTTAGTAGCCTTTTGGCGTTGGTAAAAATTGTTGCAGCATCTCAGCACAATGGACAACGAAAGAAATCTTTGTCAAGATTTGCTGACAATTGAAAACACCGCCTCGGACTTGAAAGTGCACGCGCTGCACTATGCAAATGAGCTACTCAAAAACTTTTGCAAACTCGCCAAACAAACAGAAACAATAAGAAACTATCAAAAACAAACTTGATAACAGTGAAATCATCGATATCTTCACTAGCGAGGATATGGAAAATACGCCACGCAAGTCCCGAATGTGGTTTTGTATGAATTTTACGAGTGGTGTATTTTCCAGTAAAAACGCTCGTATCTATGTAATAAAATACCGTTTATCATTGTTAGGCTGTAAATGACGAAGAGTGTTAGCAAATGAGGATCTCTCCGATCGATATTATTGCCATATGGATTCAACAGCCCAAAATGGTCGAAATGAAATGATATCATTTATGAGGTTTACTGCATGGCTATTGACATAAAGAAGACTCCAGAAAATGATGACGGAGAAATAGAGAGCGAGGAAAAATGAACTATTGGTAAAGTGCAAAGAATAGTTCCTGTCACAGTCTAAGGCGCACGTAGATTACGTCACAGAGACAACTATGTACATCTCATTTTGACCCTTGATTTTCCACCTAAGATTTGGGTGTAAGTTCCAATCCCTTCCCTCTGGGGGAAAGAGACTAAAGGAAGAGTTAGGTTGTACAAGCTGCAACCATTAGTTAAGAAGGTAATACTAGATAAATAAGTCAAATGAAAACAATTGCAAATTTGTAAATTTATTATATACTGCTACGTTTAAGCAATACTCGATACTGATATCAGAACTTTCCTTAGTTAACACTAGAAAAAATATAAAACAAACAACGGTGATAAACATTTTAAAAACATGCATTTTATGAACTGGATGTTTCGTATGCTAGTCAACATACATTTTCAAAAGTATAACCGTTGAAATTTTTGGAAAGCTATTTGTACTGTATCAATGGGGGTCTGGAATCTAGACAGAAAACAATAATATTAAAAGTTGTATTGCCGGCTTTTCGTTTTATTCTATTCTATAAATATCTACTCAAATAGAATAAGATAAGATAATTAACAATTATTTACTGAAGTGGAGGTAAATATCCATCACTTTCACTGACACTGAGGTGAATAACTGTTTTAGTATATACCACACAAGCTGAATAATTAGCCGACCAAAACGTTATTTTTTGTGTGACAAGCGGTCGGAAATTTTACAACTCTCGCGCCGGCTGCTCGGAGGTGAATAGTACTTGCTAATCACCTCCGAGTTAACCAATCAGAACGCGCGAAAAGCACTATTCACTTCTGTGGTATATACTAATGAGGTATATTTTAAACTTGATACAATTGATTTAGGCAGCAGTTTTATTTTTCGTCAAGACTTATCAATATTCTACTGATAACGAAACTAAGAACTCGTATAAATATGGAATTATTAAAATGGATATAAATAAACTAAGCATCTATACAATTTTTATGAACGCTCATTTTGACTTGATAAAAACGTTAGCTAAACGTGTGAAGTTAATCTATTATTAACTATTTTGTTACTAAGTATTTATCTAATTGATATAAATAAGACACTAAATAAAACTCAAAAACTTGAAGACGAGCTTATTTCAGAGAAATAGCCACATTAATAACGAGAGAATTCTAAAACAGTCTCTCCGGCAGAAATAACCACATTATATTCCGAAATTTAGGAACCTTTGAGCGAAATGGTGTCATGTAACGAGATTGATGTAATAGCAGTTAGCCTTAGTTAGCTACTTAAAGGCCAAAAGACGAAAGCAACCAAAGCTATTTCCAAAAACTTTCCCAGAAATTTCTTCAATTTATTTTACACCTTGTTCAAACCGAGATCTAAGTGCTGCAAAACCTGATAAAAAAGCTCACGATTTATTGACTCTTGTTTCGAGGGTTCTAACAAAATAAGAACTTCCCTCAGATTATTACTTGGTCTTATTAAAGGCATATGTTTGAACAGACTGTTTGATACTTCTAATATCAATCACAATACCTGTTACAATGCAAATAGCGGTGATGAAAAGTACAATCCAAAAGCTTATTTTAAGATACTTCATCAACAAAGGACGATCTTTTGCATTTCCTCGTCCGTTTGTGTAACCCTGCACTAGCCTAATCCCCTTTTTCTCACATGCTTTTTCAACGTATTCAGCGATTTCTGGTCTTCCAACAAAGTAACAACTAGACTTCTTGTTTGCGCATTTCAAGGCTTTCTCGAAATCTATTCGACCATTGATGAGCTGGATGTGAGTTTCTGTTGGATCATCTTCGCCCTCTTCTAACTCTGGATTGGTAACATAGAAACGGAACTTTACGGATGCAGCACTCTTCTCTTTGATCCTTTTGAGGAGTTCGTCGATAGGTTTCCGCCAAAAATTGTAAAAAGCCTTACATCGGACCGAGTAGAAAATGTCGATTGTTATTTTTCTGCCTCCGTGCTGAGATGGTTGTGAATTGTAGGCCAGAAAGCTTAGGACATCCAGGACATACCCACAGCCAGATCCTGTCGCGAAGAGAACGTAGTGCGAAGGCGACTGTTCGTTTGGCACGTCTGCCAGCTGGCTGTACAAGTTCCAAACAGATGAACGATAGGGTCCCCACACGTGGAACTTTGAAGTATCCTCACTGTTAGCGAGCCAGTTTGTCCATGGGAGGCACAGTTGTTTTTCGTCTTCCATTATGGATATCACAATACCAATGTCCCACGTTGAATCTTGCGACAAATTAGCAAATGTGGTGAAGGGATGAGATCGCTGGGGCAGTATTCCTGTGTTTCCTTTCATTTCTTGTAGTAGATAATAGACATCGCCAACAGCATGCTTTGCGCCGTTGTTGAGTTTCATGTACACGACGACGTATTCGTTGTTTCCAAGCAGTTCTTTCTTTACAATACGACCCCGATGATGCCGATAGATCCAAATGGAGAGAGCTCTGTCAATACACCAGATGATCAGCATGGGCAGATTGGTGACGTGTGCCAGGCCGTGGGTGATCTTTCGAATGTTGTCAACTGCGTACCAGATTCCGGCAAATACGTGTAGGGCCATTGCCAAAGAGTAACTTCTTTGGTTTGCGTAATGTGATCTGCTTAGTGGAAAGAAAAAGCAGAATATCACGATCATGAGGACGAACCGATAGATCTCGTCCGAGGTCAGATGAACGCCGTTGTGGTCGTTAAAGGTCCAGCCTTGAACAGCTGCAGGATCCCAGAACTTTGACCAGTTCAGGTGGTCTGGGTACTTGCTGAAGTTGAAGGTACTCGGTGGATAATACTTCAGTTCGGTTCCATCTATGAGTGGTGGAACGAAGATCACTAGAACATGGGCAAGGGACGGAATGGCAATCAGGAAGATCCCAGCAAGTGTATGAATTCTAGAATGAACTTCACGGATTCCGTTCATCGTGATCCACTTCGGACCGATCTCGCTGATGAAGTTTGAAAAGCACCACAACATCGTGTAGAACATTAGGTTCTGAGAGGTAATGATCAAGCGCGCTGTGACTGCCCACACGACATTGGTGATCGTCTCACCTATGCTAGTTCCCCACATACGCTTAGGAAGCTTTCCACTTCGTCCAAGCACCACGTCACCTTTAAGGACGAAGTGATCAACAATGCACAGTGTCGTCACGACCAGAAAGACGAACCAAACCAAGGCTTCGTATGAAATAGTGAAAGGCCTTCTGCTTAGACCGCTGCTTCTGCTTGGTTTCTGGGACGACTGGATTTGATCTTCAGGAATTTCAATGAGGTATCCCTGTGTGTGAGGTGATCTGGCTTCCTTCGGGCGATCTTCCAGTTTCTTAAAAAAAATATACGAAAATTATTCTACATTTCGATATCTTTATCTAATTTTGTAGTTGGAATTTTTGTGTATTACCTCAAATCTAGCACTCCATGTATATTGATTCCCAAACATGTCATGAAATAACTAGCTTTTTTTTCATGTTTTGGGAACAAAAACATAATAACCAGTATGAAATAAACTAGATGCGTTCGTCAAAAAGGCAATAACATTTCGCAGGGACAAACTTTTTTTAAAAAACTGTGCGATTTATTAACCATAGATGGCAATTTGACATCGTCGCAGTAATTGACCGACGCCTTTTCAACGTAAAAAATGAGCGTCTAATAAAGAAAAATTCACGTTTTTGAGCACAAGATCATATTGTTGTTTGCGAAATGACTTCCCAGCTCTGGGCCGATTACTATCTAATGCGGGGTAAAACTCCTTCGTAACCCTAGTCCTTTGGGACAAAAGGTCCCGAAACAATCTAAATAGACTAGTACATAATCGCTCTCTATTGACGCCAAGCTCTTATTTCGTATCTTATCTTACAAGTGCCAGTTCACTAGCAGTAAATAATAGAATATTTTTTTGCCACAGGAAAAAAGAAAAAAACCAAAACAAAAACAAGTAAATGTCAGTTTACCTGCAAATCTTTTAGGAAATCTTGGTATTTGAAGCCCATTTCGTCTGTGTACAGGTCCATGATAATCTACAGGTATATAGTGACTGGTGTTAGGAACATAAAACACGGATGAACTTGAACGACTTTGGTGCGAAATGAATATTTTTAGCATTCATCATGCCATATTTTCCATCACATTTTAGCATTTCTTGAAAAAAAATTACCTGCTCTTAAGAATTATCTCTAAATTTTCAACTTTGTTTGGAAAACAGGAAAATGAAATCACAGTTCATTTATGGTAATATAACTGAGTACAAAATTAAGTCCGCATACCCAAGTTACTGTAAATGGTGACACCTTATTGTAACAATCAAGCAGCTAACCTTTAAATCCTCTTTTTCTGTGACTACACTAAGAAGCTGAAAGAATTCTTCTGCTTGCGTGTCAAACTCTTGGTCAATAAATCCATTGCTGCGGATTGGATAATAACAATTACTATGGTTATCTTCCTGAGTATGAAATAACTTGGAACATTGCTTAGATAATGTACCGCATTATCAACAATAAGCATATGAGACCAAAATTTAACTAGCATATCAACATTTAAGCTTGATAATTTTATCAAGTACCTGTTAAATTCCCTGGAGGGAGCTCTGGATAGTAGATTCGAAATATCCATTTTGCCCTTCATCATCTCAGCAACTCTCTTAAGTACCACCTCCTTTGGTGAGTCCACGGTGTTATCTTGGGGCTTAGCAGTGATTCCTGTCGAAACGATAGAGGATATAGGAAATTGTATGACCTGTTCATGCAATCAAATCCAATTGTCAATAGGAATTCTAAGAGAATAAGTATAACAGTTTTCAACAAATGATTGACATCATCATCATGGACAGAACATGCAAATTGTTAATTTTACATTTGCTCAAGTTACACCAGGCCTTGAAACGGTGGTGATGTGACGCTAAGGTGAATTTTTTTCGTGGAACTCTCTTTCCTTGCTTTTGCTGTGTATAATTAAAATTATTTCCTTGTGAATTGGTTTTCAGCGCAAAGCCGCCCAAGTTAACATCTTCTTTCAAGCTTTTGGAGGTCTTTCTACGGGTTCCTCTTGTTTTCCGTCTTCCACAAAACCAAAACTCCGAATTCTAATGTGATCTCGTTGCTGGGACAGTTTTAAGAGTTCATCGAAGATCTTCCGAATTTTGTGGGCAAACAAACGTATATTTACTTTTAAATTTACAGGGAAATTTATACCACCATCTGGTTGCTAAACTTTTCAAGAGTTATACCAAGTCTGGTCAGATATTATTATTTAAGACACCCTATGCATAAAACCTTACCAGTTTCAGCATCATGAAGAAACTTTGGCCAATTGCAACAATCAGCGCTTCCTTGAACAAGGTAGTGGCTCTGAATTTCTTCTACCTGTTCATCTGTTAGAAGATCTGGAAATGCCTCCTTAAAGGCTTTTTGAAAGTCACTGGCATTAACAGATCCTTTCCTTAGTGGATCGTATTCATGGAAGTAGTCCTCTAGCTTCAATTGAAAAAAAGGAATAGGTTATTTTAAATTATGCCTCTTTGTTCTGTTAAAATAGGTGGGCTGCAACTTGTAACAACAACAACGACCTCAACAACGGTGGAAACACAAAATTTCCTGGCCAAAGTTTAAAATTTGCATTTGAAAACCAATAATCCTTGTAAACCCTTTACAAGATTTTTGAAAAAAATGAACACCCAGTTAGAACCTTTGTCCACGAAGAGCATGTTTTATCCCTTGCCAAAGAAGATAACGCTTCATAGAATCACACAATCCCGTTTGCTGTAACTGCTAAGACTTTCAGAGTGACTGATGGTTTATGTAACTTTCAATTTTGTCATTAATAGTATTCTAGTCGCTTGTGTATGTGCCTTTTTATTACATTGTTACTTTGCTTCCGGTTACTTGTAGTTGTTTCTATTGTTTAGCTGTACCTTTGTTATAAATTATCATTCCTTTTTTCTTTGTTTCCTTATTAATATAAACTCTTGTTCCAGCCTCGATTAGTTCTGGAAATAGTTGCGGGGGCAAGTAATTCTAGTAACTGTATGTAAGAAAATAAAATAAAATTAAAGTTAAAGTTAATCGTACCATAATCCCCCTTTCTCGAACAAATGTTCTGACTTTATTCATCAGCTCATCAAATGGAAGAAACACGGATCTCCTGGGTGACGTTTCCTCCGATGACGAACCTCTGCAAAAAATGATTTTGTTATTTCAGAATCGATAATGTGATACATGTAATACAAATATACTAACACGTGTATCAGTAATGTCCATAGCTCAAAGAGCTCTCTGTTTGGTGATTCGTCTTATAAGATTACCCCTGAAACAGAGTTGCATCCTAAATACGTAATAGTTTGAGGGCGCGTTCCACCACAGCACTGATGTTCCATTGGATAAGGTTGAGGCCCATTGCAGACAGTATAATTGTTGACCTAACAGAATTAGCAGTTAACGCTGAGTGCTTTCATGAATTGTTTGTTTTTGTTGCTCAAAATTCTCCATCCATTATGAGTGATGATTTTGTAAGAGAGTAGACGATTGAATATTGTAACGTATAAAGACTTACAACTCCACAATAGTTTCATTTAGAAACGGAGAGATTAAATGAACATAAATTTTTGAAATTGTCTTCTCCAGGACCACTCTTGACAAACCAAAATCTTTATTTCAAGATAACTAAAATTCTGTAGAATGTTCTTATGCAAATTAAAAAAACTAACAAGGAAGTACTGAGAGCGATGTAAAGTGAAAATGCAAAATTGTGAATGTTTTACTTACCCTTCAATTGATGACATGTCTGTGAGATCGATTCCTGTTAAAAAATAACAAGGGAGGTGTTACTGAATTATGGTAGATGATAAGTTAAGTGATTGTTAATTTACTTATATCTGCGTGAACAAACCTCAGAAGGTGTTCAAAACGAAAATTGCCGACCAATCCCTGAGTCATAGAAGCAAATACGTACCACTTTCCGATGACATGATTGGTGGTCGTTCTCAACTTGAATTTGCGCTCACAAGAACCTGTGTACGATAAAAGGGCTGTGAACCACTTTACTCGGAAAATAAACTACCAAAGGTTAACAACATGGAAGCCACAAACGCATAATAGTAATAAATGGTATGCTTTCTAAATTAAAGAGAGATTACCATCATACAAAGATAAAACTTACAAGCAGTGCGTTTCAGATCTTTCCAATACTTGAAGGGGTAGAACCCAACGAAAACAAATTTTTAACCAACAGATTTACATTTAAGTAGCACACAGCAGGGCATCTCCTACTGCTTCCCAACCTCACAATAACGTCAACAACAATACATTCAAAGATAAACCACAGAGACAGACAAGACAATAATTTAAAAAATTAATCGAATACCGTGGAATAATGTGGAACCCAGAAAAAACGCTTATCCAAGCAGCGATACTACTTGCTTCAAAAACTGCAAAACCCACGAGAAAATTAAACTACATACAAAGAGAAAATTTACAAGCAGTGCAATTTCCGATCTACCCAATACTTATGGGGGTAGAAACCAACGAAATCAAAAATTGCAAGACCATACGATAGTTTAGTCTAGTGCGTTTCTGATCTATGCAATACATTAAGTGCTACAAGCCAAAGAGAGCAAATTTCTAACAAAAAATATTTACTTTCACCTAATACACAGCAGGGAATATCTGACAGCACAATGACACGAAAAAGAAAACTTACAAAGATAGAACTTACAAGCAATGTGTTTCTTATCTATCCAATACTTAACGTAGTAGAACCCAACTCAAACACATTTCTGACCGTCGAACAGACTTACTTTCAGCTAACACACCCTAGCGAATCTCTGATTGCTTCCTAACCTCACAATAACATGAAAACCAATACATTCAAAGATGATCAACAGAGACAGCTATTGCAGTAATACTCAATTTTCAACTAAATCTCTTAACTTCAGTAAATTTCGCTCAACAATACATTAAAAGATAAACCACAGAGACAGATATTGCAGTAATTCAAAATTTCTAACAAAGTCTCACAAACTTCAGTGAATTCCGATACTTCAATCACTTGTAGTGCAAAACTGAAACGGCTTGCATTATTGCACGTTGTGAAATCTCTTGTAAGGCTTAATGACACCAAACGGATGCTAAGGCTATACAACCCAGTGAAAATACCTTTCTCAAGAAACATATATAACTTACATGCAGCGAGTTTCACATCTGTCCAATACTAATCAAACCCAGTAGAGTGGTAAAGCTGCCTTGGCAAATTTTGGATTGGAAACAGTTTGATTCTTAGCAGGAGACCTCAGGCTGAAAAAATTTCACGAGTTTCAACACTTTACGTTGCGAGTGTATCGTTAGTGATGCCGTGATTTTTAACGGTCATTTAGCGATTACTCCATGGCCACGAAAACATCATTTTTACCACGATTTGTATAAACAACAAAGGCTTTGTCTAGCAAGGCAGCAGGGTTCAGTGGAAAACTTCTGAGATGTGTTCAGCTTTTAGGAAAAGGAGGTTCCATTTAATTCTAAGGGATTCAATGTTGCTTTGCAAGAGATGATGCGAAACTCATGTAGCCTTGTGTGTTGACTTCCCCGAAGAATGATAGTGTCCACGTGATCAAGATTGACGCAGCACCGGAAATTTTACCACACTGATGATTCCCATAGTTAGATAACAGAACCGAACGGAGACAAAGAGGAGTTAACGGAACAGGTTAAGCCTAGTTCACACACAACGACACAACAACATGACTACGTAAAAAAGGACGACGTTGTGTCGTTTGTTTGTAGTGCGCACTCCTGTGATAATGGCAACATAACAGCATGAACATAACGACATTAGGAAAAAAAATACTCTTTTCCCTAGGCTTTTTTGAAGATGTTCACATTGCTGACATAAGTGACTATGTCGTTTGTGTCGTTATGTCACTGGTGTGAACTAGGCCTTTATAGCGTGCACTCGATGCATAGCGTGGAGTGATTTTGCCCACGTGTTACATGTGCAGTAAGGCTCAGCAGAAAAAACGGGCACCAGTTGTCTTAACTTTTCATTCAGATGTTGATAAAGTGATCGTCGCTGTTCACAATATGGACACAAAACATGCATCGGGTAGCTACAATGCAAACTGTGAACACATCCTTCATGGCAATCCTGACCTTTAAATTTTGTGTAAACATTTCCACTTAGGAACAATTTTGGTATGAGGCTTATAACAATAAAGTGATGCCACACAATATGATACTACTTAGAAACCTCTTTATGTGATGGTTATGCAATAAGGCTGTGTTACTTTACTCAAATATCAAGTTATCAGTGAAATATTTTCTTGATGTAGCGATAAGCATAGTATAACAAGTTTATTTCCTGTTAAACAAAGAGAAAAGCAATGCCGCAATTAGTTGTTGTTTCAGCAATAAAAAAAAAAATAGCAAAGAATCTTAAACAAAAGTGAAGTAACTTCTCGCTGTGGAATGACTGATTCTCATTATGTTAGAAACTAAATTGCTCAATGTACCGAAGGCAAGCATTCTGAAGTGGCTACACACATCCAAATGCTGCTGGCTCTCCGAATCCAAGCAGTTTGTTTCCAATGCTCTTTCATCATTGCGGTTTCCGAATTGATAAAAATTATGGAAATTTGCAGCTTGTAGTGAGTGTTGTCATTTAGCTATTTTTATATCTTAAAATCTTATTGGTTCAGACTGAAAAGAAAACAAAATAACGCATCAATTTGGTCCATTGTCCTCATGAAGTCTTTTTCATCATTGCGGTTTCCAAATAGATGAGAATTCAGGAAATACACAGCGTGTAGTGTAGCTATTTTTATACCACAAAATCTTATTGGTCGGGAATGAAAAGAAGACAAAATAACGCATCAGTTAGGTCGTTTGTGGCCCAGTGAAGTCTGTGTTATTCAAGAGGCAAAGAAGGAAGAACCGCTATAAGCATGAAATATGACGCTAAATGGGGCGGCCTTCTGTTGAATAACAACTTGTTACTTTTACCGAACATTCACGAAGATGCTGGATATCTTGAAAAAGACTGCACAAGTTCTTATGGATGACTGGTTATGACGCGGACAGCCGCCATAAAAACAGGTAATTCGTAGCATACTTGTGTGTTGTGTTGGACTGAACAAAGAGCAAGAAAGAAAAATATTATATAGAGTATGTACTGTTATGCAATTTTGGGCCACCTAACTACAGGTAGGCGGTAGCTTATAAAACTGATCATCTAGAGACCTATTGGTCTTTATCATTTAAAGCTTCCAGTTATACAATTCTATTTATATCTTGATAAAGAACTGGCTGACATTAGATGATTGACACACCTTGTCTGTACAGCTTCATGTGACAGTTTTATTCTTCGGTATTTAGCCAATGAGGCAGATCAGACGTACTTCGCGGAAGTAGTTTCCAAATACATGGAAATTATGGAATTTTTCAGCCTGTAATGAGTCTTGTTATATAGCTGTTTTTATATCACAAAATATTTTTGGTCCAGTCTGTAAAGAAGATAAAATAACGCATCAATTTGATGAAGCTTTTTTTCATCATTGCGGTTTCCAAATAAATTAGAATTATGGAAATTTACAGCGTGTAGTGACGAGTCACGTGAACTTAGTCATATAGCTATTTTTATACCACAAAATCTTATAGGTCGGGAATGAATAGAAGACAAAATAACGCATCAATTTGGTCGTTTGTGACCTAGTGAAGTCTGTATTATTCACGAGGCAAAGAAGGAAGAACTGCTATAAGCATGAAATATGACGCTAAATTGGGAGGCCTTCTGTTGAATCACAACTTGTTAATTTTACTGAACATTCACGAGATGCTGGATACTTTCAGAAAGACTGTACAAGTTCTTATGGATGAATATTTATGACGCGGAACAGCCGCCATGACAACAGGTTATTTGTAGTATACTTGAGTGTTGCGTTCGACTGAACAAAGAGCAAGAAAGACAAATACGATATAGAATATGTACTGTTAAGCATTTTTGAGCCACCTAACTAAAGGCGGGCGGTAGCTGATACAATTGATCATCTAGGGACCTAGTGGTCTTTATCCTTTAAAGCTTTATACAATTATGTAAATTCTATTCGTATCTTGATAAAGAACTGGCTGGCTTAAGATGATTGACACACCTTGTCTGTGGTCAATGAGGCAGATCAGACGCACTTTGCTATTCAATTTTTCTCCTATTATAAACAAAGATTCTCTTACTTTGATATAAAATTTAATTTTTTATTATGCAGAACTGAATAATCGAGAGAAAAAACGTTTGAAACCTATCTAAAACCGACAGCAACGATTGCCAAACTGAAAAAAAGCTGTGAAAAGTTTAGAGGTAACCGACCAGAACCTCTGTATGAACAAAAAACATCAGCAAAGCTCCGCTAGCTTTTTGATTTCCTCAATTTAGGTAGAATTTTCGTAATAATAATCCCCGGCCTACTAGCTAGACCGCCTCAGTAGTTTTAGTTGTCAGCGCGGAAGCAAAGTGTTCCAGACAAACATAGCAAACGACATAATAAAGAGAGAGTCTACCTAGTTCTAAACCAACTAATTATTTCCCGGAATACCTACTATTATTTCCTGACATTGATTCCTTTGGCTTGTGTTTGAGTTCAAGTGACTACCTTGCTAGTTTGAAAAAGTGCACGTTCTAGCCACACTGGATTTATCGAAGCTAAGGTTCACAAAGAAATGGCACGTTAGATAGTAAAATGCTGTGTTGTAAGCAAACATGGGTTCGTAACAAGTTAATTGTCGCTGAATTGTACCTAAACAAATTGTTTCAATCTATGAGCAAGTAGTGTATATTTCATTTTTAGACAATCATAGAACTTGCCATTTACTTAGTATTTACTGGAATGCTTTCTGTTTCACATGTTATCAGAGATAAAAATAACTTCTAACAGGAATTGCGGGATTAACACGCATTATTCTAATGGTCGATTTCTGAAATGTCAGGATAAACTTGCGGGCTAACCTTGCCTTTATCAGAGCCACTCTTCCTGTCATAAAGACTGAACAAGTCGAGCCATCAAATTAGGGATTTAAGTTTGACTCAAAGTTTTTCTACTCACTGAAAGACTAAAACGATGCCACACAACACCATGTGCTTTATCAACGTATTAATCAGGGCCGCGGTTAGCAAGTGGAACATTTAAATAATTCCACGATCATCTACATGGGATAATTTAAAAAAGTGCTCTAATCGATCCAGGAATCGTATAAAAAGAGTTTCAAATGAAATGATCGAATGACTGCGGTGACTGATTTACCTTAATCGCTGTTAAATCTTCAGATACTACAGTTGACGAGCACAACTTCAAGAGCTTGGTCAGTTATAGAAATCGTCCTTGCAACGAATAAACAGCCCGAAAGCAAAAGAGCCAAAAATACTTAGTGGCATTCACTCCGTTTGAATCATGATGTAAGCGATACTTTGCCGACATTTGAAAGTCTTTTCGTCATGTTGAAAAATGTAGACTAGTTAGTGACGATTTTACGCAAGTTGTGGTATTCACCAAATCATTTCGGCATTTCAGCAAGTTCAGCGAAAAAGTTTGAATTCAGTCTCGAAGGATATTGTTACCGAGTGCGATCAGGCTGTTGGAGACTTAATGACTCTGCGGTCTGTTAGTAGAGACAAGAACAAAGTAGAGGTGAAAAGCGTTTACAAATCTTATGTGTTTAGGACCTCCAGGAAAAAGGAGGAAGGAAGCTTACGGGAAAAGATTTTTCCTCCTTACTTCCTCTGAATGAGATGTTAATCCATCGTAAACCACCCCAACTTTTTCTGTCAGATTGTCCTAATTTCTAGCCGAATAGAGACAGCGTCAGAGTTTTCCCAAGACATGAACATTGAAGTGGCTAAAACTGGAAAACTTTTGATCTGAAGTTCATTGCACAAGCCATATTTTAAAGCAACTCCCATTTTAGGGTGTATGTTCAAACGATTGTGCATTTTGCAGACAATCTAATTGTTTTACTCCTTCGTGGAAAAGAAGCATTACATTATGAATGGGAGTTTCACTGTATGGCCGTAATCCAGTCAAAAAAGTGCTTGCCGTGAAATTTTCAGTACTAACCTTACAAAGCTGCCCTTCCTGATGTCACTAAGTCAGTTTGACGACTTGTCGGAACTGTTACGAAAGATTCTGAAATACAGCTCTATATACAGGGCGGATTCACACAGGGCGGAAGAAAGAACAAAGCAATGTCGTGATAAAGTTCCGTTTCAGCACTAAAATATGACAAGAATTTCAAAGGAAGTTCTCTGTGGTTGCCCTCTTTTTGTTTATTACATGCTTACTCAATTCTATCACCAAGGGTGGCTTCGCAAAGACCCTTCAAAATAGGGAAGTAGGCGATTGACTTATTTCTTTTCAGGTAAAGCAGTTCGTTGAAATGTTTCTTCCGTTGCTGTTACATCATTAAGATTTGTGCTTCGTTGAAGATTAAGAAATGCTGAGTTGGCAGTTTCGATCTATTAAGATCTAATAAAATTCCACTTGTCTCCCATTGTAAGAACTGCGATTTCATTGGCTCAGCACGCGCGCACTCGATGCATGACGTGGCGTGACTTTGCCCGCGTGTTACTGATATTCAATAAAGTTGTTATTCCTTACATGTGCAGTAAGGCTCAGCAGAAACAATGGGCGCCAATCGTTTTAACTCTTCCTTGAGATGATCGGCTTTGCTTAGAACACGCACTTAGAAACCACTTATATGACGGGTATATGCAATAAGGCATTTGTTGCTCCGTCAAAATATCAAGTTAGCAGTTACACTTTTCCTGGTATATCGAGAAAAACATTTCATTACAAGTCTACTTCCTGCTCAGGAAGGAAAAAACAATGCCGTAATTAGATGCTGTTTCAGCAATAAAAAGAACCCGCAAGGAAGATTGAACAATGGTTAACTAACCACCCGCTGTGGAATGACTAATTCGCATTATATTGGAAACTAAATTGCTCAATTTTACACCGAAGTCAAGCATTCTTAAGTAGCAATATGCAAGCAAATGTTGGCTCTCCAAATCAAGCAGGATTTTTTTTTCTAAGGCTCTTTCATTACTGTGGTTTCCAAATACATGGAAATTATGGAACTTTTCAGCCTGTAATGAGTCTTGTTATATAGCTGTTTTTATATCACAAACTATTTTTGGTCTAGTCTGTAAAGAAGATAAAATAACGCATCAATTTGATGAAGCTTTTTTTCATCATTGCGGTTTCCAAATAAATTAGAATTATGGAAATTTACAGCGTGTAGTGACGAGTCACGTGAACTTAGTCATATAGCTATTTTTATACCACAAAATCTTATAGGTCGGGAATGAATAGAAGACAAAATAACGCATCAATTTGGTCGTTTGTGACCTAGTGAAGTCTGTATTATTCACGAGGCAAAGAAGGAAGAACTGCTATAAGCATGAAATATGACGCTAAATTGGGAGGCCTTCTGTTGAATCACAACTTGTTAATTTTACTGAACATTCACGAGATGCTGGATACTTTCAGAAAGACTGTACAAGTTCTTATGGATGAATATTTATGACGCGGAACAGCCGCCATGACAACAGGTTATTTGTAGTATACTTGAGTGTTGCGTTCGACTGAACAAAGAGCAAGAAAGACAAATACGATATAGAATATGTACTGTTAAGCATTTTTGAGCCACCTAACTAAAGGCGGGCGGTAGCTGATACAATTGATCATCTAGGGACCTAGTGGTCTTTATCCTTTAAAGCTTTATACAATTATGTAAATTCTATTCGTATCTTGATAAAGAACTGGCTGGCTTAAGATGATTGACACACCTTGTCTGTGGTCAATGAGGCAGATCAGACGCACTTTGCTATTCAATTTTTCTCCTATTATAAACAAAGATTCTCTTACTTTGATATAAAATTTAATTTTTTATTATGCAGAACTGAATAATCGAGAGAAAAAACGTTTGAAACCTATCTAAAACCGACAGCAACGATTGCCAAACTGAAAAAAAGCTGTGAAAAGTTTAGAGGTAACCGACCAGAACCTCTGTATGAACAAAAAACATCAGCAAAGCTCCGCTAGCTTTTTGATTTCCTCAATTTAGGTAGAATTTTCGTAATAATAATCCCCGGCCTACTAGCTAGACCGCCTCAGTAGTTTTAGTTGTCAGCGCGGAAGCAAAGTGTTCCAGACAAACATAGCAAACGACATAATAAAGAGAGAGTCTACCTAGTTCTAAACCAACTAATTATTTCCCGGAATACCTACTATTATTTCCTGACATTGATTCCTTTGGCTTGTGTTTGAGTTCAAGTGACTACCTTGCTAGTTTGAAAAAGTGCACGTTCTAGCCACACTGGATTTATCGAAGCTAAGGTTCACAAAGAAATGGCACGTTAGATAGTAAAATGCTGTGTTGTAAGCAAACATGGGTTCGTAACAAGTTAATTGTCGCTGAATTGTACCTAAACAAATTGTTTCAATCTATGAGCAAGTAGTGTATATTTCATTTTTAGACAATCATAGAACTTGCCATTTACTTAGTATTTACTGGAATGCTTTCTGTTTCACATGTTATCAGAGATAAAAATAACTTCTAACAGGAATTGCGGGATTAACACGCATTATTCTAATGGTCGATTTCTGAAATGTCAGGATAAACTTGCGGGCTAACCTTGCCTTTATCAGAGCCACTCTTCCTGTCATAAAGACTGAACAAGTCGAGCCATCAAATTAGGGATTTAAGTTTGACTCAAAGTTTTTCTACTCACTGAAAGACTAAAACGATGCCACACAACACCATGTGCTTTATCAACGTATTAATCAGGGCCGCGGTTAGCAAGTGGAACATTTAAATAATTCCACGATCATCTACATGGGATAATTTAAAAAAGTGCTCTAATCGATCCAGGAATCGTATAAAAAGAGTTTCAAATGAAATGATCGAATGACTGCGGTGACTGATTTACCTTAATCGCTGTTAAATCTTCAGATACTACAGTTGACGAGCACAACTTCAAGAGCTTGGTCAGTTATAGAAATCGTCCTTGCAACGAATAAACAGCCCGAAAGCAAAAGAGCCAAAAATACTTAGTGGCATTCACTCCGTTTGAATCATGATGTAAGCGATACTTTGCCGACATTTGAAAGTCTTTTCGTCATGTTGAAAAATGTAGACTAGTTAGTGACGATTTTACGCAAGTTGTGGTATTCACCAAATCATTTCGGCATTTCAGCAAGTTCAGCGAAAAAGTTTGAATTCAGTCTCGAAGGATATTGTTACCGAGTGCGATCAGGCTGTTGGAGACTTAATGACTCTGCGGTCTGTTAGTAGAGACAAGAACAAAGTAGAGGTGAAAAGCGTTTACAAATCTTATGTGTTTAGGACCTCCAGGAAAAAGGAGGAAGGAAGCTTACGGGAAAAGATTTTTCCTCCTTACTTCCTCTGAATGAGATGTTAATCCATCGTAAACCACCCCAACTTTTTCTGTCAGATTGTCCTAATTTCTAGCCGAATAGAGACAGCGTCAGAGTTTTCCCAAGACATGAACATTGAAGTGGCTAAAACTGGAAAACTTTTGATCTGAAGTTCATTGCACAAGCCATATTTTAAAGCAACTCCCATTTTAGGGTGTATGTTCAAACGATTGTGCATTTTGCAGACAATCTAATTGTTTTACTCCTTCGTGGAAAAGAAGCATTACATTATGAATGGGAGTTTCACTGTATGGCCGTAATCCAGTCAAAAAAGTGCTTGCCGTGAAATTTTCAGTACTAACCTTACAAAGCTGCCCTTCCTGATGTCACTAAGTCAGTTTGACGACTTGTCGGAACTGTTACGAAAGATTCTGAAATACAGCTCTATATACAGGGCGGATTCACACAGGGCGGAAGAAAGAACAAAGCAATGTCGTGATAAAGTTCCGTTTCAGCACTAAAATATGACAAGAATTTCAAAGGTAGTTCTCTGTGGTTGCCCTCTTTTTGTTTATTACATGCTTACTCAATTCTATCACCAAGGGTGGCTTCGCAAAGACCCTTCAAAATAGGGAAGTAGGCGATTGACTTATTTCTTTTCAGGTAAAGCAGTTCGTTGAAATGTTTCTTCCGTTGCTGTTACATCATTAAGATTTGTGCTTCGTTGAAGATTAAGAAATGCTGAGTTGGCAGTTTCGATCTATTAAGATCTAATAAAATTCCACTTGTCTCCCATTGTAAGAACTGCGATTTCATTGGCTCAGCACGCGCGCACTCGATGCATGACGTGGCGTGACTTTGCCCGCGTGTTACTGATATTCAATAAAGTTGTTATTCCTTACATGTGCAGTAAGGCTCAGCAGAAACAATGGGCGCCAATCGTTTTAACTCTTCCTTGAGATGATCGGCTTTGCTTAGAACACGCACTTAGAAACCACTTATATGACGGGTATATGCAATAAGGCATTTGTTGCTCCGTCAAAATATCAAGTTAGCAGTTACACTTTTCCTGGTATATCGAGAAAAACATTTCATTACAAGTCTACTTCCTGCTCAGGAAGGAAAAAACAATGCCGTAATTAGATGCTGTTTCAGCAATAAAAAGAACCCGCAAGGAAGATTGAACAATGGTTAACTAACCACCCGCTGTGGAATGACTAATTCGCATTATATTGGAAACTAAATTGCTCAATTTTACACCGAAGTCAAGCATTCTTAAGTAGCAATATGCAAGCAAATGTTGGCTCTCCAAATCAAGCAGGATTTTTTTTTCTAAGGCTCTTTCATTACTGTGGTTTCCAAATACATGGAAATTATGGAACTTTTCAGCCTGTAATGAGTCTTGTTATATAGCTGTTTTTATATCACAAACTATTTTTGGTCTAGTCTGTAAAGAAGATAAAATAACGCATCAATTTGATGAAGCTTTTTTTCATCATTGCGGTTTCCAAATAAATTAGAATTATGGAAATTTACAGCGTGTAGTGACGAGTCACGTGAACTTAGTCATATAGCTATTTTTATACCACAAAATCTTATAGGTCGGGAATGAATAGAAGACAAAATAACGCATCAATTTGGTCGTTTGTGACCTAGTGAAGTCTGTGTTATTCACGGAGCAAAGAAGGAAGAACTGTTATAAGCATGAAATATGACGCTAAATGGGGAGGCGTTCTGTTGAAATCACAGCTTGTTAGTTTTACTGAACATTCATGAAGCCCTTGGATACCTTGAGAAAGACTACAAGTATTTAACCTGGATTAATATTTATGATGCGTAACAGCAGTGATAACAACCGGTAATTTGTAGCATCCTTTTATGTTTCGTTCGATCAAGGAGCAAGAAAGACAGTAGGCCATATAGAATATGTACAATTACTGTTATGTCAGTTTTTAGTCTCCTTACTACAGGTGGGTGGCAGCTTATGCAATTGATCATCTAAAGAACTAGTGGCCGTTATGATTTAAACGAACTTAACTTATACTCTGACCTAAATGATTGACACAACTTTGTGTATTTCTCATTTGACAGTTTTGTGCTTCCGGGGGCAATGAAAACAGATCGGAAACACTTTGCTGAAGCAATTTCTACATCGGGTGCTATTTGTATTCAATATTTTCCCTTTATTATAAACAGAGATTCTCTCCTGTTGGTACAAATTCTTTTATTATTATTATCATTATCCAAAACTAACCAATTTAGAGAACAAGTTTTTAACCTGCCTATGAGTGACTTACGTAACTTTTGGAATCGTCAAATCATTTCTGCATTCGGGATTTCAGCGAAAAAAAATATAGTTACCGAGTGCCGCGGAACAGGCTGTTGCAGAGACAAGTAGAGGTGCAAAGCATTTACAAATCTAATGTCTCCAGGAAAAAGGAATTAGGTGAAACTAAAGGAAGAACGTTTTTTTTTTCCTACTTACTTAATTCTTATGAATGAGATGTTAGCCCATCGTAAACTACCCCAACTTTTCCTGTCAGATTTCCCTAATATCTAGGCAGATAAAGGCAGTGTCAGAATTTCCTGAGACAGGACCATTGAAGTGGTTTAAAAGCAGGAA